AACATTCCAGGCCAGGTTGGACGGGGCTGTGAGCAACCTGATGTGGTTCAAGGTGTCCCTGCTCCTGCAGGGGGGTTGGGCTGGGTGACCTCTAGGGATCCCTTCCAACCCAAACCATTCAATGATTCTATGATTCCCCACACGCCACATGCGATACCAGGACCTGGTCCAACGGTCAGTAAGCTAAGAGGGGTGGAACCAACACCGCGCCCCCTCTGCAGCACCCTTTCCTCGGGGGACCATGCCTCCCTGCACCGTCACTGTGAGCTGGCACCAAGGCAGCAGCCCCGCTGGGTCTGGGCACTTCTCTGCGCCTTCATCCCCTGGCTGGCAGCTCTGCTCCCGCTGCCATTCCTGCCAGCTGCCTTTTTGACCACCGTGCCACCAACCTGCCCAGGAGATGCCCAGTGGGCACAGCAATGCACCCAGCCCCTGCCGCCACCCGTACCCTGACCTGGAGCCACCATCCTGCTCTGGACCCCTTTTCCCCATTCTCCCCCATTTGCTCTGCTGCCTTGAATTAGGGACTGCCCCTCCATATGTATTTATACAGCATCCCGCATGTTTGCAAACTCTGGCATTTAATGAAAAACACACACGCCCCCCCACTGAAGCAACAGGGTTTGATCACAAAGCCAAGCAGATCAAGTATAGACGGGAGCCACAGATTTCAGCAAACAAAAACTGACGCCAGTCGGCAAACAGACCTGGGGTCACATTATCCTTCATCTCTCAGGATCGCAACATCTGCCAGGAATTTGTGAAAATGTCTGCAGATCCCCAAAGAATTTAAGCCTGAATTGATTAACTGCCTAAAAATTCACCCTACAAATCGCCACACACATTGTTCTCCTGTTTGGAACATTTCGGTCGCCCCGCTAAGGAGGAGAAGCGCTACCACGCTGCCGCGCCAGCGAGCCACTGAAAATGGGAGAGGCAGTGATACACAGTAGAGAACAGGTGAAAACCTCGGAAAATTCAGGACTTCAGGATGAATATTAATTTGATAAACCCCTTTGTTAATAGAATATTAAATTAAGAATTGGCAAGCCTCCCCACTAGCCCTACCAGGGAAGTAATGCTGCGTCCCCTCCCTGTTGGCTGCTCATGGCCTGACACCGACACCGTAAAAATAACAGGAATCTGGAGTGACGGAGAAGTTGGGGCATTGTACAGGAGAAGGGTATCGGATACTCCCGCGCCCAGCTGCTCCCTTTTAGTTCTTTATCAGAAATACAAAATCAACTGAATGGAACGGCAAAAAAGAAACACCTCGGAGCAGCCCAGCCAAATCCCATTTCTTCTTACCTTCAAGCACCAACTCTCACTCTCATCTCGGCACAGACTGAGGCCATGAGATACCTGCAGCGCATCAGTCCCGGGGAGGGCCAGCAGTGAAGTTAATCATCACTGCCCTACCCCAGCAAAGGGAAGGGGCTGTTCATAAGCTTCATCGCTGCTGGGGGCAGCGCGAGCACCGCAGGCTCCCTGCAAATGAGCCTGCTGCTTGCACCTTCCCCGGCCTCCTCTGCCTTTGGAAGGGGATGGGTGCTGGGTGGCTGGGAAAGCCGTCCCTTCAACCCTGGATGTGGCCACGGCACCCGGCCACTCCTTCTCCCTGCTGAGCCTCAACCATAGCTGCCCCCCGGCCACAACGCTCTGGTCCGAAATGCTGTTGTAGATCTCCCTCTAAAAATAAAAAACAAGCTCCTGGAGATGAACGTGGCAGGGGAGAATCCCTAGGCTTGGAGAAAACCCTTCTCACATTGACCACATAACAAGGGCAAAGCACGATCCAGGGATGGTTTTCCAAAGGAGTCTGACGCCAGCAACCAGCGCCTTGGCTGCTCTTCTGACTTTCTGAGGCACCGGGAATAAAACAAAACTAAACAAAAAGAGCTGAGAGAACCCCCAAAATAAATATGTATTTTATTAATTTTGCCTCTTATATCTAGGTCTCTGAAGGGCTGCGTGCTGCTGTCTGTGCCAGCAACCAGAGCAGCTATTTGATTTAATGTCAACTTTTTTGCAGTCTCCCGCGAGGGGCAGTTGCAGAAGAAAGAGAGAGGGGGAAACGAGGAAGAAAGAGAGAAAGAACCGAGGGCCAATTATCAACCGCTGCCACCAGAGAGCTCAAAAAATAAACAAAAAGTATCTCACTTTGTGGCTGATCATTCCTTATTAAGTCAGAGCAAGATATTCCAGCCCGGGCTGTTTTGTGCTCCAACACCAGCCGGGAGCCCGTGGGATGCAGGGCTGGGACAGGGCTCCAGCCGTGGGTTTCCCATGAAATGGCCAAATCCTGGCACAGGGCAGCCCAGCCTCGACGCTGCTGGCATTGCCCACGGCCGCATCTCTTTGCTGGGTGCTGTGGGGAGGAGCGGGCACGGCTCTGATCACCAGCCATGTATTTTTGGAGCGCTGCAAAAAAGTCATTATTGATGGCTGAGGCAGAGGACGCCGTCCCAGCGACTCGTCAAACCACGGGGGAAATTAAGACGGCTTCCTTTTCCGAGATGAGTTATTGCCTCCACAAACACAGCCAGATTTAAAGCAATTTCCTGTCGAGTATATTCATTATGGCTGGAGGAATCCCTGAAATTTTCCTGGAGCTGTGAAATCCTCCCCTCGCCTTCATCCGCTCGCTCCAGCGCTCCTGCCGCTGGCCGAGGACGGGCTCTGCAGCACAGCCAGGACCCAAAGGGACAGAGGTGGCTGATGACAGGGAGAGTGGGGGGAGGCTTTTACGTGTGGCTGCTGATCTGGCCTACGTTAATACACACTTTTCCCCCTTTTTCCTCCTGCCATTTCCCAGCATGAGCTTGGGCGAGTTGCTCAATCCATTCTTGAGCTCCTTCCTCCAGCTGTGAAACACAAACACGGCTGCTCCATCCAGGCAGACGTGGATGCTGCGGGGATAAAGCCCATAAATACCTGCAAGGTAGCTGAGACCCCTGAGGGTGAAGGGCACGCAGGCACCGGGCTGCCATCGGGAGGGGGACCGAGCCTTGCTGGGCAGCCCGCCTTTCCCTGGCGGCTCCAGGGGCAATTCATGGCATTGCCCATCCGAGAGGTTACGCCTCTTCCCTAGGTCTTCAATGCTTTACTCACCACAACAATACCACAGCTCGTGGGAGACCAGGACCCTAAGACATCTAAGACATCAGGCTCCTGCTCGTAAGACCCCGAAGTGCGTTAAGATGACTTAAAGAGCTGCAGCTCTGCTCCCCCAGACTCTGCTGTACCTGAGCTGGTGCCTCCTCTTCCCCACCTGGATGCCCAGGGCCCTGCTTGGTACCAGCACAGTGCACGTGATGGAGAGCTCTGGTTTTTGTGCCATTCACCTCCCCGAGTGCCCCGAGGCAGCCCTGCACAGGACTGGTCGCGGGGGATAAACCTCTGCTCCGAACAGCTCGGGCATCTCCACACACACAGGTGAGAGAAGCAGGAGCTGGGGCGGCTGACGGCAGCGGTGACAGCGCTGGCACCGTCACCTGCTCTCAGCCAAGCCAGGGCAAGGGGAGGCTGCTGGGGCTGGGGCAGGGTAGGTGACTATGAGTGAGAGAGAGAGGCATCAGAGGCAAGACAGCCGGCTGAATATGAGCCAGCAGTGTGCCCAGGTGGCCAAGAAGGCCAATGGCATCCTGGCTTGTATCAGGAATAGTGTGGCCAGCAGGAGTAGGGAAGTGATCGTGCCCCTGTACTCGGTGCTGGTGAGGCCGCACCTCGAATCCTGTGT